TACACACACACACACACACACACACACACACACACACACACACACACACACACACACACTATACACATAAAAAATGAATTCAATAAAACAATACACTGTTTAAAATGTACCTGTACTATGGAATATTATACATTTTTGCAAATTATCGTAATCGATTTAGTGCCGCTGGGTCAAAACTACATTCAAAAGATATTTTTTCACGAATGTTAATTTGAGGTTTTTTTGAAATAAGAAAATTTAAAAGAAATAAAATGAAAGAAATCATTAAAAGAATATATAATAAAGATATTAAAGAAATTATTATTTATATTAATTTATAATTAAATTTTTTAAGTGGAAATTAAATGTAATTTTTATACTATATAAATTTATATAAATTGAAATAAGATAATATAAGATTTTAAAGGAATTAATGATGTTTGAAATTATAGTGTAAATTATTTTTAATGTTAATAATGTATTTTAGATAATTATATGCTTTAAAAAAAATTTTAATTTTTAATGAAAGAAGAAAAATTAATTTTTTAATAAGTACTTAAAAAAAATAAATATGTATATAAATATATATATTATAAGTAAATATATATATAAAAGAAAATATATTTAAATAAATTAAATTAATTTTTTTATTAGAAAATTTTTTAACATTATTATATAGAATTATTAATAAGTAAGGCTTGGCTGATTAATATGTAAAATAATATATTTGCAAGTGTAAATTTTTGAATTTTAAGTTAATTTATTGATATATTAATTATAAATTAGTATAAAATTTAATGAATATATTATATTATTATAAATAAATAAATAAATTTAAAGTAAGAAATAAAATATAATAGTGTGGATTAATTATTGAAATTTTATAGTATAATAATATGTTTATTGGATGAGTTAATTTAAATATAATTATAATAATTAAAGTTTGGAGAATATAAATTTAAAATAATTGTTTAAAATTAAAATATGTGAATTTAATATTGATAAAATATAATAAAAGTGTAATAAAATAAATATTTATTTAAGTAATAATTACTTAATAATAAAATTAATTTAATTAATAGATATTATATTATTAGAGTATAAAATGAATAATAAAATTAGTTAATTATAAATAAATATTATAATTAAATTATTGTTCAAATATATATTATTATAAAATATTATAGTATATTATAGTATATTATATTTTATAAATTATAAAGTAATATTATATATAAAATTTTAAATAATATAAAAAATGATTTTATTATTATTAGTATATAATTAATTTTTTTATTTAAATTAATTTTTAGTATCTTCATCAATAAATTGAAATGTATAAAAATAATCAAACAACATCAACAAAATGTCAATACCAAGTTCTTGCTTCAAATCCGAAATGATGATAAGAAGAAAAATGAAGGGAATTTAATCGAATGAAACAAATAAAGAGAAATAATGTACCAATTATAACATGAAGACCATGGAAGCCTGTGGCAATGAAAAAAGTTGATCCATAAATTGAATCGGCAATAGTAAAAGGCGATTCATTGTATTCAATTAATTGAAGTATAGTAAAATAAATTCCTAAAAGGATTGTAATTATTAACCTTTTTTTTCTTTCTTCTATATTTTTATTTAAGATTCTATGATGACATCATGTCACAGTTAAACCGGATGATACTAAAATAGTAGTACTTATTAAAGGAATATCAAAAGGATTAAAAGGAATAATATCTAGTAGAGATCAAAGTTGTCCAATTTCTATTCTAGGTGCTGGAAGAGTGGAAGTATGCTCAAAAGAAGGAGAAAAAAAAAGGATTCCTTAGGGGTGTCAGATGAGCTATTAATTCATTGAAATAGTTAATAATTTCGTAAATTATTAAACCTAATCATATTGAGAGAGAAAAAAATAAACAAATTCTTATATGACTAGTTGCAGTAAAAATATAAGGAAATAATCCTAAAAAGTTTCTAAAAAAAATAAAAATTATTAGACTTAAAAAAATAATTAAGTTTGAAAAAGAGTATGAGATTAGCACTTTAAATTCATTAAATAAATGTTTAATAATTGATGATCATAAAAAGGTGAAACGGGAATGTTCAAATCAGAAATTATGGAGTAAATAAAGAAAAATTAAAATTATTCTTAGTCAATTTAAAGAAAAATTTATTGATGTAGAAGGATCGAATACTGAAAATAAATTTATTATCATATTTATAAAATAAATTAATTTTTTAAATTTATTAAATATATTTAAAAGTTATTTATCATTATCATATTCAGTTTCAATTGATTTTTTTTAAATTTGATTTAATCTGGATAGATTTGTGACTAATCAATATTTCTGGCATTAATAAATAAATAAAATTGATTGTTAAAATAATTAAAAGAAAACATAAACAAAATATAATCATAACCAATATATAATAATAATCATAACCAATATATAGATATTATTTGAGGCACAAAAAGAATATTATTTTAAATTTTAATATTTTTAAAATTTGACAATTTAATGTTATATATTTTAACTAATTCTTTTTCATTT